GATGGATGGATGGATGGATGGATGGATGGACAGAAGGATGCTTGAGGCACTGTATGGTTTTAAATTATTGGATCCGTTAATTTATCCCTCTCGTCTCCCTTTATAGGATTAAACCGTGTGGATTTGGTTTAATCCTATATAGAGTCTTCGGTCTCACTGCTTTAATGTGTGATCACTGTTTTACTTTATTAATATAATTCCATCACTGTCATCTCTGATGGTCTGAATGTTTACATGAGCACAGGATCTGTTTTTGAACCCATCCTTCCTTTGTAACAACAAGAACGGCAGAAATGTTTGAGTTTCACTTCCTCCTGACTTTCAGAAGAAACAGACACAAAGACTGCAGTTTAGTTCTGTTTTGGAAAATCATGCGGTAAATATTCACATTTGCATATCCCTGAATTTACTGATGAAGGCAAAACTGTAAAAGAAGTTTGCTGAGCTGGAATCGCTGATCCATCTGACCCTCTCTAAAGATCCACTCAGCTTGCTTTAACATGTTTGCATGTGTTCAATTCCATGCAAACCTTCTGAAGATCAGGCCCTGAGTGTCATAGACCTGTAACAACAACTCGTGTTGGTTTAATCTCTAGAAATCATCTAAAATCCATCTAATTTTCATTATAACCATCTGAAAAGCACACAGCAGACATCAAAACATGTTTAAAACGCAGAAGAATATGAGACATCAGGGGAAGTAAATCTGTGACCAGAAACTCACTGGATCCATAGTAAAGCAGGCTCTGCTCCAGTCCAGAGAAGCCCCGAGCTTCCTCAGCTGGTGATAAATCTCCTCTCCTTTTCTTTGGACATCCGTAAACAGGTCAGGTACAGTAATGCAAACATTGGACAGACAGCCCGGACAAAATTATTATAAAAAAGAGGCAATGAGAAACAAGACTTACTCATTTTTCCAGTTCCAGACTTCCTGTAAAAATTCCTCTCTGGTAAAATCTTGTCTGTGTTTTCCTTTTTCTCTCAGAAGTCTCCTCTCCACCACCGTCTATAAACAAAAAGACATTTTTTTTACAGTTAAAAAAACTAAAAAGAAAAAAAAAGTTTTTTTTTAATTATGTTAAACCCCTATAACAGCTTTACATTTGATTTTTTCCTGTTTTAGGCTGCTTCAGTAGTGCATCTAATATAATCCGTGCGTGAATGCTTCTCCAGAAAATAGGATCCTTTATCTGCCCATAAATTCAAATTTTAAGATACTTTATCAATCCCAACAATATGAAATTTTAGTTGTGGTACATTGGTCCTAGAAAAGACAGAACAAAAACATTATACATGGGGGGACATGGTGTCCGTGGTGCGCTGCTTCTACAGTAAGTCCATGAAGCACTGTCCCAGAAGCCATCATCCTGGACAGGACAGTGTAATGTTGTTCATCAACCAGCCACACATGGAACTGGTTCACAGACGTCCTCAGGGAGGGGAGGGGCAGAGGGAGCAGAGCATCACGTTTACATAGTATCCAGGAGGAGTTTAGAATATGGCTGCATTCACACCGAACGCAGCAGGAGCAGCAAAAACGCATCTGCTGCTTCATTTTTGCTGCTTGTACCAGTTTAGTTCTGACGCACAGATGAAGCAGATTTCCTGCTCTGGCTGGGCGGGGAAAAATGGGTCTGACGCGCGTTGGGCGGAGCTACCCTATCTTTTCTTTGCCCTGCAGCTATATTTGCTGTGATCAGTGGGAATAAAGTAGTTTTAATATGTTTTTAAGTGAGAAAATCCACCTGAAAACTTAATCACTGCAGTCAGTTCATCCAGATTACCATCCTGCCTTCCAGTATTATTTCTGTCGGAGCCGCGCAGACCCCCACATACTGGCGGTGTGCTGTCAGATGCTCAAACGCGCTGCGCCTGCTGCTCAAAACGCTGCAACTTGACGCGCGTCAACCATTGACTTTGCATGTAAACTAGCCGCTCCTGTGGCTCCTGCTGCGTTCGGTGTGAACGCAGCATATGTCTTTAGCAGGAGGCCACGCCTGGCCCCGCAGACTGCAAGTCCATCCAGTCGTAATGTGTGGTCCCAGCTCTCTACAGGTCGTATGATGGTAAAGATTCTCAGTCATCCAAGTCATAGTCATTGCAAAAAAGTTAAAAAACAATTTACCAGACTTTGTTTCAAGTTTGAAGACGTTTTGCTTCCCATCCAAGAAGCCTTTTCAATTCAAATTGTCAAAAACAGTGTTGAGTTCGAGGCTTTATACAGTAGCCCAAACAAACCCTTGTTTGGGCTACTACTACTCCTTCAAATAGAAACGGATGAACGGGTCCACCCCTCTGGAATGGGGGTCGTTTGGCTTCTTGTTTACCTAGCGATGTCCCATACCTGTCTATGTCTCTGAAAGGGGGGTCGTTAAAGGGAATTGTTGGCCTGGATGAACAGGTGAGGTCTTCTGTTCTCCTGTAAAGGGGTTGGGGCTGCAATGATAGCTGGAAGGAATCAACTCTATCGCTGCATTGTAGGTTTTTGAAAGCTGAAATCTGAGTCCCACCCCTGTTTAAAGTTGTTTCTCTTTAACATTGCATTGCAGGCTAACAAAAGGCGTTCATCCATTTCAATTTGCATGTTTTCTAAACTAAAACAAGGCTTTGTTGGGCTCCTGTATAAAGCCTCGAACTCAACGCTATTTCTGACATTTTGAATTGAAAAACCTTCCTGGATGGAAGAGAAACGTCTTCAAACTTGGAAACAAAGTCCAGAAGATTGTTTTTTTGAACTTTTTTGGAACCTCTGCAGTTAAATTATCATAGCCTGGGTGCCATTCCGAACTTAGTCCCGCCCACAACGTTTGAGGTCGGGAAGTTCGGTCTGGCATTGCTCCATAGTAGCGCGAGTTTGCTCGCACAATATCTGGCGGGCCAATCAAATTGTCAGGGCGGGCTTTATACGATGATGGACAGATGATCAACAGTAACGTAATCAACCACCTGACCAAAGCGCGCTTGGGTGACAACAACAATGGCTGCCGCCGGAGAGTTGAGGTGAGTAGATTCTGCTATTAGGTCTGTTCTAGAAGATATCGACAGCAAATTAATTTTAAAAGAGGAACAGAGAAACGCGATCAAGGCTCATCTTCTTATTCTAGGCGTGCAACTGCACTCTTTGATTTTTGTTGACAACAACTATGCGTCGCTTAACATACGTCACGCACTCCGTTACTCTTATTGGTTGTAGGTCTATCCAATTGAGTGCAGAGGCATTTTTTTTCCTGGTTCGTTCAAAACACGCCCCATAATCACAGCTCTATGGAGCAGTATCAGACTCATTCTGACTAGAATTGAGTAGGACTACGTCAGGCTAAAATTATCAGGTCATAACATTTAATTCTGGAGTCGTTGGGCAGCTCTTTGGTCTTGGCCACGGTTGGGTTTGGAGTCTGACTGTTTCAAGGTTGTGGACAGGAGTCTTTCATACAGATAACCATTTCATAAATGGAGGACAGAAGAACTTAAAGACGTTACAGGTCTGTAAAGTCGGCTTTATGTCTTTTCTGTCATCCTGATCTGTTACAGCTGCTAACATCCAGAAGAACTCAAGATCAGATTTAAAAGTTCTGCTATAAGGTTTGCTTCTTTACAAGGAATGCAATATAAAGTCCTCATAACATCCTTTCAAATCTTCTTTCTGAGTTTATACAACAAATTCTTGAATGAAATATGATGTTTGCTCACTGATCTGAAACATTTAGGTGCAACAGAAAAACAAGGGACAAAGAAACGTGTGAAGGGCGAAGACTTCTTCACTGGATGGTAGATGCTTCATATATAACCAGGTTTACATGAAGGCTTCTTACAATGCCAAATATAATTTCACAAAAACAGAAGAAAAGGTTTTCCTACCTGAGTTGCGATGCCTGCGTGATCACATCCAGGAACCCACAGAGTTCTGTAACCCTGCATCCTTCTCCTACACAGATACACAAATTACTCCATCATCCACCAAAGTCAGTCTGGACTCAACGTCTATCAACCGATTGTTAAATAAGTCGCTACCGTCGAACCAGGGCGTCCTGCACAGCCACAGTCAAGGCATGGCCCACATGCAGAGTCCCCGTCACGTTTGGAGGAGGAATACACAGAGAAAACGTCTGATCGATGCCGTGAGGCAACCTCTCCTGGAAAGGTTACAAACAGCAAAGACGCAAACAGTTTATTAAAGGTTACCGGGCAGAAAAAAGCAAACACTTGGCATGTTTTACTTTATGTTAACATGATCATATGGTCCTTAGATTTTTTTTTCGATGCATAGTACATGATTGGGAACCTAAAATTATGGTAATCTGGTTCCTCAAAGTGCTGGAGCTCTGTACGTTCAGCATGCATAGATATCAAACCATTCTTAATTGGGCCATCCGAGAACGCCTTTTGCCTTAAAGTCAAAAATTTTAACTGAATATGTTCAGATTTCTTACATGTTGATCCGGATTGAAAAATCCCTCTTTCTCCCACCACTGATACCAGCAGGACTCCACATATTCTGGACTGTAGGAAGGTGGGAGAGGAAGGCTTGTATCTGCAAAGAAAGGTAGAAATCACTGAATAACTAAACAAGTTGCTGAATAAATGAAAACTTAGAATGCAGGAAAAGAACCTTTTTTAGTCCCAGCAGGGGTCTGAGCCGTGTACTCAATCTTCTGTTTTTCACTCCACTTCAATGCTTGAGATTCAGTTCCCTGAAAGTTGCAGTGCAAGAATTAAAAGATGCTGAAATAGGGTTTATCACTGATTGACATTGGTTACTGCTGCTTCGTTATTGACTGTTATATGCTCCATGTTGACCGCTGTCAGAGCCTGGTCTGCGTTCCCAGCAGTAAGTCGGACTCGTTTCCAGTCAGACTTAGTCTCCGCCAAGGTTGCCCTTTGTCACCGATTCTGTTCATAACTTTTTTGGACAGAATATCTAGTCGAAGCCGAATTGTTTTGGTGGCCTTAGGATTGCGTCTCTGTTATTCGCAGATGATGTGGTTTTTACCCCCCCCCCCCCAAAACATCACACTGGAGCATTTTGATATACATCATTTTTGAAGCAAATATTTTTTTTATTTTTCTTGCTTTCCATCTAATAATTTAACAATGTGCAATAATCCAGGATCAAATCTACCTCTCTCCCTTTACGCCTGCCGTTATATCTGGGTTGATTTAATCAAATTAGCCGTGCTTGACCTTGTTTTAGAGGAAATTTCATTGGCTAGAGATACAAGCATTAAGTGTGGACATAACCAACAGCAGCCAGACTTTATGAGGGAATAATATGAGGGAAGTTATGCATAAAGACTAGTGTTGCACCGATACTGATACCAGCATCGGGAGGGCCCCGATCCAGCATTAAAATGATGGTATTGGTATCAGCGAGTACCAACAAATAGGGCACCGATATCATTTTGAGAGCCAAAAGTTTATTCAACTATTGTCACCCATTCCAGGTACGCAATAAGAAGTTCTACTGGATTCACTTTGTTTTAGTCTTTTTCCTGCTTCCAAAGGTAGGCAGCAGCTTGACAAAACCATGATGGCAATTATTTTACATCCAAGTAGTATGCAGTTCTTCATATTTACACACACATCAATTTCAAACAGATGGTTTCAGTATCGGCCAATACTGCACAGCCAGGTATCGGGTATAGGGGCCAAAAAATGGCATCAGCGCAACACTAGTAAACTTTGATGCTTCGGGGGCTGTCCTGGCTTCAAATCTCAAGAACGGGGCGGGTGGGGACACTTTTGTTTTGTAGACTGGAAGGTGAGGAGAACAAACATACCTAACATTGACCAGAAAAGTAAGCTATGGTGATTAGCAAGACCGTTAGCATTAGCTATAAGGATCTAACTTTTCTGTTGGTAAAAAAAATGACTATATGTGGCGATTTTCTCTTCAATCAATGTTTTTATTACAAATATACTGGATTACTTTTTATCTGTGGACCCTTACGGACAAATGGAATGTAAACAATCTAAGATTGGATTTATAATACGGCCTCAGGAACGCTTCAAATGCTCCTTCTTTATTAATTGTGCGTTGATGTTCATGGTTTCCATAAAATGAGCAGTTGAATGTTGGAGAATCGAAGCTTTCAAAAGATGTATAACATGTCTATATGGTAAAAGTTTAACCGCTATTATTTTTCAAGCGTACTGCTGTGTTTAATGTAAATATAGAGAGCGGTGCGCTGGCGAACCAGTGGGAGTTCAGTTAATACACCTACAAGTAGATCAAGGTCTTACTGAACCCTATGAATAAAACCAGTGGTTCCCAAAGTGTATGTTCTTGTTTTTAATACATTGTGGGGCCCGTTTTCTGGAAAAATAGTTCCTTTTGGGGCCAGAGGCCTGAAAAATAAGTACAAATATAAAAACATTACAATATGGTAAAAAGTACAATAATCTTCAACAGTAAGCTTCTTTTAAAAGTGACTCAAGTGATTGTAACTACTTATGAGTCAAAGCAACATTTGACATCCGAGTGTATCAACATACCTAAAGTCAAAAAGGTTTTTAGGCTTTAGTGAAAAATCAAGCCAGACTGTAAAGTTTATGGAGAAAATGGCGGATTAGTATTTGTCTGTGGTGATTGTAGCAGAGGACTCAGTCACTGACCTTCCAGGTGTCATACATACTCCGGCCATAAGGGGCAGGTGTCCTTTATCTGAATGTAATAATAGAGCCACGGAGGTGTGAAACTTTGCTGCATGTTGAGGAGGTGATTCAGACGGTAGGACCAGGGACACATCTAAACATGGGAGGACACCTGTCCCACCCCTGATCTAAACCAATGCCTGTCCAACTCTACACCAGGGTTGGAAGTTTCTTCCGGATGGCATTTTTTTTTTTACCAGGATTTTTTCATGTTTTTTTCCAGCCGGAAGAAATACTTTCTTCGGGAAGAGACTTGGAAGGTTAAATTTACTGGAAAGTTTTGTTTAATTTTGTAAACATGCTGCCTTAAGCATGTCAGGATTCCTGTCTGTGTGTTTCTGTTTCTGTGTTGTTCTCCCTTCCTCCACCAGGAGGCGC